TGCTATTCGCTTCAATTTGCTGCCGAGGATTTGCGCGACGACGCGCGCGCAACGGCGTTCGAACCATGTCGACATGCGCGTGCAAAACCCGTTTGGTAGCATTTTCTGATCATGATGGAACGCATTGTTTTCAGTAAGGATTCGAACGGGAGCGCGCGTTTTTTTGTTGCCTCTCGCTCTCTCTCTCTCTCTCTCTCTCTCTCTCTTGCGAAACCACGACGTCTGTACGTGTTGAGACACTCGGTTTTGAACGCTTTGCGAAAAGGGTTGCTTTTGAAGGATTTCGGCATGCGCGCGCGACGACGCGCGCGTGTGCACTTCGTTCCATGTTTCATTCTTTGCAACAGATTCTTGAACATATCTGATTTTGGATCAACGAGTGCGCGCGCATCGTATTTTTGCGGAAAATGGCGGCCGGGATCGATGACAGTTTGGCTGGGGTGGCATGAGTTCATATTGCGAAGGTTTTACGGCAGGTGCTGGCGACCCTGAGGTTGGGGAGGGGGGCGCGGAACATGGCGGGGATGAGTATGAGGGGGGGACAGGAGGAAGAGGAAAATGAGGAGGAGTAGGAGCACAATGGAGGGGAATAAATAGGACGAGAGTGAGGCGAGCAGGGTCGCATGTGCAGGTGAAGGGGGTCACGGCGGCAAACCACGGGCGAGTGGAACCTGGCGATCATGAGGGGGAAAAAGGAAAAAAACATTGGCGAGGATGTTGACGATGTGAACGACGACGCCACTTGCCTATCAGGACCAGTCGGGGCGTCTTGGAGCCTTCCTGGGGCGACTTCCAGGCTTCGTTCGTTGTTTTTGAAGCTGGGTTCGGCATTTTGGGCGTTTGGGAGGCCACGGAGTATAGATTTGGAGGGCGCCGGGGCCGGGACGTGGGCCGGAGTCGGGGCCTGAGCGGGCCGGGAGCCAGGGCCAGGGCCTGGGTTGGCTTGGGCCGAAGGGGCCAGGGCCGGGGCTGGGGTTGGGCCGGGGCCGGGGCCAGGGACGGGCCAGTGCCGGAGCCAGGGCTGGGCCGGGGCCGGGCCCGGGACTGGCCGAGACCGGCCCCGGCCGAGGCCGAGGCCGAAACCGGGGCCGGAACCACAGCCGGGGCTGGGTTGGACTGGGACCGGGGCCGGGGCTGGGACCACCTGCGGTCGGGGATGGGGCCGGAAATGGGCATCGAGGCCGCGGCCAGGGCCAGGGCCGGGGGCCGGAATCGCTGGGTGACGGAGGGAGAAAAAAGCGTCCCCCCGCTCTCCATTTCCCTTCCTTCCCTCCTCCTTCTTCCCTCCCTCCCTTTTTCTGTTTTTCTCCCTCCCTCCTTCCCCTCCTCCTCCCTCCCGCCATCCGCTCTTCGGAACGCAACGTGAAAGCATGAATCCCCGCATCATCCTTTTGTGTTTTAAATGAAAAGTTACATTTTGATGTTTAAATGTTTGTAAACGTATTGTGCATTTTAGTGTATACATACATACGCACGGTGAAACAAATGTTTCTAATTTGCATCTCTCTAATAATTCATTATTTATTAAAAAAAATGTAGCCTCCTTGATCGTCACTTCTTTTGTGGATCCGGTTGAGGGGGGGCCGGGCAGGGGGGGTTCGAATGGGAGGGGGGGTAGCTAATGAACCCCCCTTTGCTCGCTTCCAGAGCGCAAAAGGGGGGTTCAAGGGGCAGGAAAAAAAGGGCGGGGGGCTTCCGGAAAGGGGCGTTCAAAAAAGGGGGGGGGGTAGCTCAACGCCCCCCCCTTTTCTAGACTGGGCGGGGTATGGTCCGGAACACGAAAACGAAGGGCACTTGGGAAGGGCGGTTTCAGGCATGGGAGGTTAATGTGGGGCGCAGCTAGGGCCCCCCCCCTTTGGGAGTGTAGCACGGGCGCGCTCCCTCTCTCTCTCTCTCTCTCCCTGCTTCGCCCCCCGGGCGTTGCCACGTGACGAGTGCAGTCGACTGCGTCGGTGTTTTTGTTTCTGCCGCGCTGCGTTGCCACGCGGTGAGTGTCATTAACTAGTATATTGGTGTCTTTTCTGGCCTGCGGTGTGGCCACTTGTCGAGCTAGAGTCGGCAATCATGCTTTCGCCCCCCAGTCGTTCCCACGTGCCGAGTACAGCGGCGCTGCTTGTTTTTTCCATTGCAGACGCGTTGCCACATGACGAGTATGCAAGAAGAGGCGTTTTTTTAACGCCCAGCTGTGGTGCCACTCGGCGTGTGCAATAACATAAAATTTGTTTCGCTCCCTGGGCGTCGCCGCGTGACGCGTCGAGTGGAATGGTATAGTTCCCACTCCGCTTTGGTCGAACGGACTGGTTTCCCGTTCCGCTGCGCGGCAATTTGGCGAGCGTAATGGAGTGACATTCATTCCGCCCCTGAGGAGTTGCGGCGTGACGGGTCGAGCGGGATAGTATTGTTCTACCCCGCTGCGTCGGTGAGTATCGTACAGTGGTATGTCTTCTCCGCGCGCGCTGCGATGCCACGTGGCGGCCAGAACATAAGTCAATTTGTTTAGCCGCGTGCCGAGTAGAGAGACTCTGGTGCCAGGGGAAGGAGGGCCCGTCCTGTTCAGCACGCGGGACAGAGAGAGACTCGAGCGCCGAAGGGTTGGGGGGGGTTCGGGCCCAGCGTGCGGGAAAGTGGAAGATTCGAGTGCCCGAGGGGTGAGGTCAACGCGCGGGGAAGGAAAGAGTCGAGTGCCGAGGGGTGGGCCAAGCGCGCGGGAAAGAGAGAGACTCGAGTGCTGGGTGGGGGAGGCCCAAAGCGGGGGAAGGAGAGAGGCTCGAGAGGGGAGTTTTCCCGCTCAGCGTGCGGGGATGAAAGCGTGGGAATGGGAGAGGCTCAAGTGCGGGGTCCCAGCGCGCGGGAAGGAAACACATTCGAGTGAAGCGGGAAGGAGGGCCTTCAGTGCGCGGGAAGGACAGAGATTCGAGTGCTGGGGAGGGACGGGGGGCATTTCCACTCCCCTCCATGTCGTGTGCAGGGGTTTTGGCCTTCCCAGCAAACCTTCCTTTTCTGGGCAGTTGTTCGCTGAGGATCGCTCCCTCAGTGTGAGGCAGGGAGAAGGGATGATTGATGGAGGGATGGTGGTGGTGATGCTGATGATGGTGGTCATGCTGAAGATAAAAATGGAGATGAAGATAATGATGCAGTTGGTTACGCTGCTGTTGTTGATGATAATGCACGGGTTGATATTGATGATTTTGATGATTCTGACGATGACGATGATGATGATGATGACGATGGTATTGTTGATGATGATGGTGATGATGATGATCAATACGATGGTGAATATGATGCTGATGATGATGCTGATGATGCTGATGCTGTTCACTATGCTGATGACGATGATGATGATGATGCTGATGATGATGATGATGATGATGATTTGGTGGCGATGGTGATTATGACGACGAAGATAATGATGATGATGATGATGATGATGATGATGATGATGATGATGATGATGATGGTGGTGGTGGTGGTGGTGGTGGTGGTGGTGTGTGGTGGTGATGGTGACGAAGATAATGGTGATGATAATGATATTTGCGGTGGTGGTGGTGGTGGGTGGTGGTGGTGTTGATGACGATGATGAATGTCATGATGATAATGATGATGCTGATTATGAGGAGGAGTAGGGGGAGGAGGAGGAGGAGGGTGAGGATGATGATGATGAGGATGGGAATGATGATGATGAGGATGAAGATGATGATGATGATGATGATGCTGAGGATGAGGATGAGGATGAAGATGATAATGATGATAAGGATGAGGATGATGATGAGGACGATGATAGGGATTATGTTGATGATGATGGTGATAATCAGTACGACGACGATGATGATGATGATTTCGATGCTGATGCTGATGTTGATGATGATGATGATGATGATGATGATGATGATGATGATGATGATGATGATGATGATGATGATGATGATGATGATGATGATGCTGATGATGATGATGATGATGATGATGATGATGATGATGATGATGATGATGATGATGATGATGATGATGATGATGATGATGATGATGATGATGATGATGATGATGATGATGATGATGATGATGATGATGATGATGATGATGATGATGATGATGATGATGATTCCCCAATCAGAGCTTGCCTCTGTAGGGGTCCTAGCGGATTCATATGGTTAGGTGAGGGGCGGCGCCGATTTGGTGGCCAGCGGCCGGGTGCCCGGGGGTGCACGGGGGTGCCCGGGTGCCCGCTTTCGGTGGCCAGGCCCGGGTGCCCGAGGGTGCCCGGGGTGCCCCGGGGTGCCCCCCAGGGTGCCCCGGGGTGCCCCGGGATGCCCCGGGGTGCCCCAGGGTGCCCCGGGGTGCCCCGGGGTGCTCAGGGGTGCGCCGGGGTGCGCCGGGGTGCGCCGGGGTGCCCCAGGGTGCCCCGGGGTGCCCCGGGGTGCCCTGGGGTGCCCCGGGGTGCCCCGGGGTGCCCGGGTGCCCGGGTGCCCGGGTGCCTGGATGCCCAGGTGCTTGGGTGCCCAGGTGCCCGGGTGGCCGGTAGCCCTATAGCCCTATAGCTTATATAGCCTCATAACCCTAGAGCCTAGAGCCCTATAGCCCTAAAACCATAATAATTAGCTACATTAGCCCTATAGCCCTAATGCCCTGATAGCCCTATAGCCTTATAGCCCGATAGCCCTAAAGCCATATAGCCATATAGCCCTACAGTCCTATAGTCCTATAGCCCTACAGCCCTATAGCCCTATAGACCCATAGCCCTATAGCCCTATAACCGTATAGCCCTATAGCCCCATAGCGTTAGAGCCCTATAGCCCCATAGCCCTGGAGCCCCAAACAAAAATCTGATTGGGTTTTTTTTTCCGGTATGATGATGATGATGATGATGATGATGATGATGATGATGATGATGATGATGATGATGATGATGATGATGATGATGATGATGATGATGATGATGATGATGATGATGTGAAGGAGGTAGGGGTTGAGGGAGGAATGGCAGCCTCTGCTCGCGTGACCAGGCTACGCTCCTGCAGCTCGAGGAAGAGGAGAAGGCCGCGCCCCACAGATCGATTCGCCCTCCTCGTGCGTCCGCAGGTCATTCAGACGTGCGCTGCCAGCCCTGAGATCTGGGCGTGGCAGTGTTTTGACACCTGGCGATTTCGTCTCGTTGCGGGCCCCAGGACCCTCGCGAATCGATTTGGTTCGGAACATGCAGCAAGAAGATGGGTTTAGTGTTCTGGTCGGAATATTTGCGACGTTTCATTTTTCTCGTGACGTCGCATCTAAGGGAGGTTTGATGCCAACAAGTTGTGAGTTGAGGAGGGTGGGATTGTTTCTGTAGCAATGCAGGTGTTCTCGCCCGGGAGATACAGGTGGTTCCCGTGTCTCCCCCCCGCCCGAAGTTAAAGTCAATGCCGGTGAAGAGACTTACGTGCAGAGGAGCTCTTGCAGCGCACGGCTCAGGAGAGCAACGCTTTTTAGCGTGTTGCAAGTTTCAGTTCGCATCAGTGCCACATGTAGCGGCCATTCCTCTCTTTAGTCACGGCTTTTTGGCCCGGCTTGAAGGTTGGCCAAAGCCGTGCGGACAAGGCGGGACCGCTGCCGTGAGTTTTTTACATCCCATGTGAGTGTGTGGAAAAACGTGTTGCATTTAGTCCCCAAGTTTTGTAGCTGGTTCAAGATACGGCGCGCTTCAGAAGGGGCCTCGCCTGCGAGGATTGAAGGAGCTGACATCTCTTCCTCGGCGGAAGGCGGCGGAAGGGCGGCGGAAGCTGGCGGAAGTAAACCGAGGACGCTTCCGCTGCCAGAAGGCCCGCGGAAGCCGGCGAAGGCAAACATCGGTATTCCAAGACAGTATGTTTGGGGGGGTCAGGGTTTCTGGCATCGGCCATACGTCCTGTGACCATTTCCTTTCTGCCATTGACGTGCAAGGGCTTCATACATTCTACGGGTGGCTTTGTTCTGCATGATCACCTTCATACCCGCCAGATGCCAGCCAGGATGCCAGCTTCGATGCTAATCCGATGTTGCGAAGGCCTTACGGCTGGTGCCGCCCACCCTGAAGACGACGACGCTGACCACGACGAGGTAGGAGGAGGAGGAGGAGGAGGAGGAGGAGGAGGAGGAGGAGGAGGAGCCGCCGCATGAGGAGGAGGTGGAGGAGGTGAAGAAAGAGGAGGAGAAGGAACAGGAGGAGGATGGCGATCGTGTGGAGGAGTATGGGGATGTGGGGGCAGAGGTTGAGGGGGAGGGCTGAGTACCGGGGCGGAGTGCAGGGGGACGTGGAAAGGAGAAAGATGGCGGGGTTGGGTCGAGGATTGTGCGGAAGAGGAACAGGAGGGGGATATGGAGGGATACTGTGAGAGGGGGGCGACGTGGGGTGGGGGCCGTCTTGGACGCTCTCGGAGACCTCCTGGGGCACTCTGGGCTTGTTTGGGCACTTCTTCCAGCCCCAGAACCCCCAAGACGTATCTGACCTCCCTCCCCCTTCGACGGGGGAGGGATCAGAGGAAGGGGCTTCCCTTCGATTCGATTATGACATTGCTAGGTTTTTCTGTCGCTGACAGGCTTGACGGATGTCAGGGTCAGCTGATTTCGGTTAGGCTTTAGAAGGATTTTGGTTTCTTGGACGACACAAGCGAACCCCGGATCGAACGGGTAAACTCGTCACACTGGCCGACAGGGTCGGCGCATTTGTTGTTTTTTGGCAAAGTGTCCCAGTCTGTCCCGAAGATCAGCATAGCATGCTACGTTGACTAGTGTGCTGCGTTCTGCCAGCTGATGCCGTCGGCCTGCCCGTGTCATAGTTTTATCCTCACGATTATCATGATGTACATGCGCTTGCCCAAGGGTGGTGGGTAGTGATTACGTTCAGGAACCATCCCCTCCCCGGCTTGACACGGACCTTCCCAGTTTGGGCTACACGGGACACGGCCAAAATTGTGGAGCATTAGTCTCGCGAGGTTTGTACGTTTAGTAAACATTTTAACATCGGCAGAAAATCATATGCTAGTTTTTTCCATTGGAACGAACTAGCGATGTTTCATAATTATTTTCATCTAAAACATTCAATTCCCATGTTTATTCAATGGTATATCGTTTTTTCGACATGTTCGCAAATGCGTTCGTTGGATCCGTGAATGGCCCTTGTAGATTGTTTCTGAACTCGCTGTGTATGCTTTATTCTTGGGTTACATGGGAATTTCGGGGCTCTACGCGCTTCATCTCTTGCTCCTCATTTCTGTTGGCCCGCTGCCGCTTCGGCTCGAACCAGCGATTGCGCTTGGCGCAATTTCGCCGCGGCGTCGCGTCGCGGCGCGGCGGCGCGAGCTGCCCGCCGCCAATGTCGCGGTGGTCCGACCGCTCCTCGTGGAGCAGCGATTGGTGGAAGGGCTGGGAGGAGTGGTCCAGCGGCAGCTGGTCCTGGAGCGAGCAAGGGGACGGCGGACGCGGAAACGCAAAAGTCGCTGCAGCGCGCGACGGCGGCGGTGGCGGAGGTGGGGGCAGGGGCGGCGGCGGAGGCGGAAGCGGCGGAGCGGCTCATTTCAACGGGGCGGCGGCGGCGGGTGGCGGCCCGCGCGGGTGCGCCGCCCGCGGCTGCGTGACCGCGCGCCGCAAAGCCGCGGGGAAGAATCGCCCGTCGAAGCTCCGCCGGCGCCGCGCTCAGCGGCGCGGCGGGGGGCGATGAGGACAGGAAGTTGATGGGGATTTGTTTGGTTGTCAGTCGTCGGTCGCGTGTAGCTGGCGGCCGGAGTCATCTGACATCTCGCGTCGTCGTCGCGTCGCAGCAGCGCGCGACCGCGCCCCGCCCCGCCGAGGTTCCGCCGCAACTGGTTCGGCGGCTCGCGCGCCATGCAGCAGGGCCATCGGCTTTCGAGCCCTGCCCCCTGCTGCTCGCGGCGGAGGAGCCCGGGGCGGTCGCGGCTGGCCTCGCGAGGGGGCGCGCCGCGCGGGCGGGGGGCGTCGCGCGGCGGCGCCCGCTGGCGTTGCAGCTGACGCCGCTGACGCGGCAGGAGGACATTTCGCCCCGACCGCTCGCCGCCCCCCTTTGATCCGATCCTCGTCGTCGAAGGGATCGGCGATCGACGATCGACGATCGATCCGAACTTTTTGGTCCGCCTCCCTGTCGACCGAGCCTCGTCGATCCGATCCTCGTCGAGCCGTCGCCACCCCGATCTTAGCTCCCTCGCCCCTCCGCTCAGGGTTCACCTCGTTCCCGCAGGCGGAGCAGAACGCGGGCGCGGGCGCGTCGCCGCGGGGGCCCGTCAACCAGCGGATGTCGCTTCGAGGCGCAGAGGGCCCGCGCGGCGGCCGTGGCGCCGCGGGGGCCCGCGACCGAGGGGGCGCCGCGGAGCGCGCCCGAGCTGTCGCCCGAGCCGCCGCCGCTGGGCGCGGCGAGAGGAGGCCGCCGTCGCCCTCGTCGCCCAGGGCGATGGAATGCGCGGCGAGCGGCATAGCCACCCGCCCGCGCCCGCGGGCCGACGGCGCCGCCGTCGGCGCCTCCGCGGCGCGCGGCGAGCGCCGCCCCCGCGACGCTCGGCGGGATTTGCGCCGGGAGGCGGGCGTGGAGGATTAGCGGCAGCTGGCGCCCGCCGATCCAGAGGGGGCGGAAGAGGCGCAGCTGGCGCCCGCCGTTCCAGAGGCGCCGTCGCCGCTGCGCGCGACGACGCCCCGCCGCCGCGGCCTGTCGCCGGGGGGCGCGGCGAGCGGGGGAGGCGCCGCGGGGCCAGTCGACGAGCTCGCCGAGGATCCGCGATCGCGCGGAGGAGGCGGGCGTCTTGGCGGAGTTCTCCGCGGGGGTGCGGCGCCAGCTCCGCGCCGACGGGCGCCGCCAGGACGAGGCCGCGGCCGCGGCCTGCTCGGGGTCGGATGCGGGGTCTGACGCGCAGCGGGAGACGCCGCTTTCTCCGGCGGCAGCCGCGACGAGCGAGGCCCCCCGGGCTTCCGACGCGGCGCTGGTGGAGGCGGAGGCCGCTCTGGTCGCCGAGCTCAATCCGCCGGCGCCTCCTCGGGCCGCTCATGATCCGATCCGATCTGGTCTCGATCCGATCTGATCCCAATCAGATCCCGAAAGAGCTTCGATCCGATCCGATCTGATCCCGCCTCTATCCCAACTGGACCGTTGCGATTGCCTTTCGAATCGCCGATCGCCGGTCGCCGATCGCCGACTCGACTCGGGGGTGATTCCGATTCGATTCGGGCGGCTCTAGGCGCGGGCCCACGCCCCAGATGATCTGCAGCGGCATCAGCTCTGTTCCGCCGCTGCCGATCGCGGCCGCCGCGGCGCCTCTGGAGAGCGCGCCAGCGGCCGCCGCCGAGGCGGCGTCGGCAGCCGCCGAGCCCGCGGAGGTCCCGGCGGCAGGCGGAGCCGCCCGTGCTGCCGGCGCCCTGGCCCGCCGAGCGGGTGCCGACGCAGCCCGCGGCGCAGCGGCAGTGGCCGTGGCCGGCCCCGTGGCGGCCGCCTCCTGCGAACCGCTCGCGCCCCCCGCCGGCGGGCCCGGCGCCCGGCGGCGGCGGCGCTGGGCCCGCCGGGGCGGCGCTCGCAGCCGCCTCTGCAGCGCGAGCCCGTGCAGGCGAAGCCGCCGCTGAGCGCGGCGCCAGCGCCGCTGGCGGGGCGACTGCAGCCGACGCCATCGCTGGGCGGCGCAAATCGCAATCTTCTTCGGGAGGTGGGGCGCTCGCTTCGAGAAAACTATGTTTCTGATCGCCGCCCCCCCCCCCGCCCCCCTTCCCTCCTTCCGTCGCCGCCGTTGTCGTCCGGGGGTGGCGGGGCGGAGGGCCACCTCGAATAAGTTCTTCGCCGATAGTTTCCGCGTCGTCGGAGGCGAGGCGGCCCCGCGGCGCTCGAAGCCGACGCTGGCCACCCTGGGCTTCTGGAAGACGGGCGCGACCGCCCCCCGCAGCTGCGTCCAATATTATTTCGACGTAGTCGCGCAGCAGGGGCGGCTGCGAGCTCGGCGGGCGCTGGCGGTGAAAGCGCGAGCCCGCCGGGCAGCTCGCGCCTTTGCCCGGGCAGCGCGAGGGCGGCCCGCGGTCGCCCAGGCCGCCAGCGCGGGCCGCCGCAGTGGATTGACGCCCTTGCGAACGGCGCGCGACGGCCAAGGTCGGGCGAAGACGGCCCGCGCGCGGAGACGAAGTTCCGCAGCCACTTCGACCGCAGGTCCCCGCTGAAGGCGAGGCACCCGATGAGCAAGAAGGTGCTGACGTATAAGTGCGTCGACGAGGCGTGGGCAGAGCACGCCCGCGGGTTGCCCGAGGGCGAGGCGGTCGCGGAGGCCGCGCGCAGCCGCGCGTTCATCGCGCGCCACGAGGACCTCGCGAAGCATATATGAGGGGGCAGTCGCGGAGGTGCCCTCGCGCGTGGGCCTTCCGCGCAACGACGAGAAGTTCGAGCCCATTGTGAAGATATGTGGCGCGTGCTTCTCGGCCTGGAACCGCCCCGCGAGGGGGCTCGTCGCGGGCGTCGAGATGGGCGGCCGCTGGGTAGAGCGCTGCCTGATGGCCGTTGCCTTGCGCTCGGACCGCCTCGACCCGTTGCTCGGGCAGGCTGCCCGAGGATGCGCGGGCAGGGCGGGCAGGTCGCGCCCGCCATCGGTGCCTGCGCGGCCTGCGCTGCGGAGGGGCTGGCCTCCGACCTGCGGGCGGCTGGCAGCGCTGAGGGGCGCGCGCGGGCCCCGCTCCTTCTTCGTCGCCGATGCAGTGCGCGATTTAGGCGCCCCTTCCTCGCCGATGCAGTGCGCGACTCTTTTCTTCTTTTCCCTTCCCCCTCTGGCTCTTCCCGCTTTGCTATCTCTTCGCGCAGCCGCGGGCGCCCGCGCGAGGCGCCGCGCGCGCGTCGAGTCGGGCGGGGGCTCGCTGGCTTTCCTCGCCGCGCCGCCGCGCCCGCGAAACAGTTATGCCGTTTGTTCCCCCCTCTCCCACCGCGGCGACGGCGGCGTCGGCGACGTCGCGGCGGAGGCGCCAGCCCCGGCTCCCGCCGCGTCGCTGCCGCGCGCGGCTGAGGCCCCGATCGGCTCGATCCCGATAGATGCGAGACCGATCGATGCGAGTTCGGCGCGAGTCCGAACGGCGCGAATTCGATAGAATATCGACCTCGTTTCGATTCGAGCTCGATCGACGCGATTCCGATGCGACATATGTTTTCTTCTTGTTCGCATGATGCCAGCGTTCTCGCTCCTCCTCCCGCGCGTTCATCTTTTCCGTGGTCGGACTTCTTGGCTCGGGCCAGTTGCAATTCTCGAGGCCGCCCTGGCGGGCGATGGGTTTGCCTGCGCTCGCTGCTGTTGCGGCAGAGGGTTCCGGGTCCGAAGTAGGGGCGGGGGGCGGCGGCCGGGCCGCGGCGGTGCCAGGCCCGCCGCTGGGGGGCACAGAGAAAACATGTCGCGAACTTGTTGTCGCTGCTGCGCGCGGCAGAAAGCCCAAAGGCCAACCGGTCGCGGTTCCGCTGCGCGTTTGCCGAGAGGCTGCAATCGGCGCCGAGGCGACAGCCAGGGCAGATATCGCCGCGCGGCTGGAAGCCCAGATGAAGGCATTTAATGTCAAGTGCGCGAAGAAGCAGGACCCCCCTCCCCCCCCCGAGACAACGTGTTTTGCCGCCGCCGCCGCGCGCGGTTTCCCCCTCCGCTGGGTGACCTGAGGTTTTGGCACGGCGGTCTCGGCGACGTCCTTCAATGTTCGATGCAGGGCCAGTGGGCCCTCTGCGCATGCTGCGGGCCTTCTCCTTGGATTTGGGCGCGAAGTTTAACGCGGCGGCTTCGGCGGCGCAGGAGCGCAGCGGCCGCGCTTTCGTCGTGGGTGCGGGCCGTTGCATCGCCGAGGTTTTGCGCGATAGTTATTTTCTGAATGTGCGGATAGCGCGCCCATGTTTGCGCGCCCCTGGAAACGCCTGCGTCAGTTGCGCCCTGTCGGCGCATATGGCGCAGGCAGTTTCTTTAATCTCTATCCACTTGTTCCGCCTAGCTTCGTAGCCTTTGGTGACGGGGGGTCGTCGAGGCGTGCCGGTGCGTTATTGCGGGGGCGCACCCTCGGCCCGCCAGAGGCGGGTAGACTGCCCTGAGTGCCTCGTGTTGCGTGTCTGATCCATTCTTACCTGTCTAGCCGCGTGGCGCCCCGTTTGGGGGGCAAGGGGTAAGGTGGTGAGAAGTGGCCCTCGCACCTCTGCCCCCCGAGTCGTGCCGTCGTGACCCGTGGGCCCGATGCCAACGTGGTGCGGGCGGGGTGCGTCTGTGTGCATACCGCTTGTCTCCTTTTTTCATATTCGTTCCTGCTATCCTTTCGGCTCAGGTATTCGGCTAGCGTCTAGCATCCTGCTGGATGCACCTGCGCTCGCAATTCGCAGGGCGCGAGGATACATTATCTCCATTTTCCTCCTCCCCACCTTCTACGTACGGATCATACGGTAGGTTCGTCCCTCTGGTCGTTAACCCCCGCTCACATTTTCTGACTGCGATTGAGCGCCACATGTGTACCCGCGCATGGTTGTCACCGCATGTCGCTGTGCAGGAGTGCGAGGCCGACGGGGGGGGGGTTCGAACCCCCCCCTGACTTTCCAGGGGGCGGAGGTGGTTCGAACCCCTTCCGTCCCCCCCCCAGGCGCCAGTGCACGTATGTCCGTATGCACGTATGTACGTATGTACGTATGTGCGTACACAAGTACATACGTACGCATGCATGTATGAATGCATGCATCCATGCATATTTGAAATACTGTATGTATGTATATTTGTATGTATGTATGAATGAATGAATGTATGCATGTATGTGTATAACTATGTATGCATGTACGTATGTATTTGTTGTGTGTATTTATGGATGTATGTACGCATGTATATATATGTATGTATGTATGTATGCATGCATGCATGCATGCATGTATGTATGTATGTATGTATGTATGTATGTATGTATGTATGTATGTATGTGTACGCATACACGTGTGTACGTATGTATACATGCACGTGTGTACGTATGTACGTATGTACGTATGCATGCATGTACGTGTGTACGTCTGTGCGCAGGTACGTACGTCTGCATGTATGCATGCGTGCATGTATGTATGCATCCATGCATTCATGTCGGTACGTGTGCTTGCATGTACGTGTGTACGTATGTACGCATGCACTGTTGTGCGTCTGTATGAACATGTATGCGTATGTGTATGCTTGCATGCGCGCTTGTGTGTTTGTGTTTTTTTATGTGTATGTGTGTATATGTGTTCGGTTCTCTCTCTCTCTCTATCGCCGTTCCGCTTGGATATAAGCCGTAGTCCGCAGCAGTGTGCTCGGTTGTCGCTTGTAGTGGTGAACGATGGCGGACGTCCTCTCATGCTGACGCCCCCCGTAGGCAGCAGTGGATTGGGAGATGCGCTTAAAGCGCAGCGATGCCAACGCGAAGCGCGCGCGGAAGCTGCAAAAGAAGGCCTTCGCTCAAAGGGATGGTCAGGAGCGGCCCTTTTTGCAGCTATCACATTTGCGCTGTCTACGGTCGAATGGAGAAGGTCTGAGGCCTGCAATGAGCACGTTCATGTGTGGTCGTTAAGGTTGATGCACGCCGCTTCTTTGCGGGGGACACGTCCGGACAACCGTTCTGTCCGTTCCTCCTCCCCTTTCTCTCCTCATGTTCCCCCTTTTCATTCTCCCATCGTTTCCTCATCCTCCTCCTTGGTATCCTCGTCTTCCTCCTTCTGTTCTACTCTCTCTTCTCCGCCCATGCCTGCTCCTTGTCCGTTTTCCCCTTCTCTTCCGCCTCCCTTCTCGTCCCCCTCCCCCCTTCCCGTTCTCCTCTTTCACCTCCTCGCCCCCATGGGACGTGCGCTCCCCGCCCTCTTCCTCCTCCCCGTCCTGGAGGCTCTCGTGAGACCCTTAGGTGCCTTCCTGGGGCCCTCTTGGGTTGTCCTGGGGGCCTGTGTGGGTGGCCCTCTGCGGGACCTCCCGTGCACTCTTCGGGCCCGCCCGGGCCCTGTTGGTCGTCTCGGTTGTCTTTTGGGATTGCCTTGGGGCTCTCTGGAGCTTTCTGGGCCGTGCCGGGTTGTCTTGCGGGCGTCTTGGGGCCGTCTGAGGGCCTTCTTGGGCCGTCTCAGGATGCTGGAGGGCCCTCTGGGGCCACCTCGGGCTGATTTGCACCGTCTTGAGCCCCTCTGGGGGCCCCCCCTTCTTGGGGCGTGTGGAGGCCGTCTTTGACCGTCTTGGGCCCCTTTTGGGTGTCCTGGGACCCGTGAAGATCAGATGTTGTGGTCACTGCATCAAGTTCTTGTCGTCAGAGTATCAAAGTCTTGCTGAATTTCCGCTTCTCTGTCGCCCTCTTGCGTATTCCACCTTCACCTTGTGCCCATCTCCGCACTCCTCCCGAACCAGATTCCTCCTTATCTCCTCTTCCCCAACCCCTCCTCCACTTCTCGTCTCGCCTCCGCCCTCTTGTTCGCGCTGTTGCTGCCCCAAGCAGAGACGGCCCCTCGACGCGCCTAGGACGACCTGCAGACCAAAGAGACGAAGAAGGCTATCCGCAAGCAGCTGAAGGCAGAGCGCAAGCTGGCTACGAAGTCGGCGAAGAAGCTCCTGAAGTCGCAAGGTCGGGTGGGGGTAAACGATGATCTTCTCCCGTGCTGTCCTGCAAGAGGTGACGGTCGTGGTATAGCGTGATTTGCCAGGTAAGATGGGGAGATTGATTTGGGCGAGGAGGACGGCGACGAGGAAGGGGAGGAGGAGGGGGCGGAGGAGTAAATGGAGATGAACGAGGAAACGAAAGAGCTGAATGGCTTAGATCATGATGCGTATGAGGAGGAGGAGAAGCCCCCCCAAAAAATCGTGGTCTTGTCGCCGGATATTTGAAGTTGGCACCAATATGGCCCCAGCGACCCCAAGAGGATTTCCAAAGGGCCCCAGTCTGAGTTTTGGAACTTTTCCGGCTCCAACTTCGGAGGCCAGCTTCAGGCTACGTCGGCCCCGATTGGGCGAGGGGGACGACGACGAGGAAGGGGAGGAGGAGGGGCGGAGGAGTAAATGGAGATGAGTGAAGAAACGAAAGAGCCGAATGGATTGGAGGATAATGCGTATGAGGAGGAGGAAGGGGAGGAGGAGGAGGAGGAGGAGGAGGAGGAGGAAGAAGAGCCCTCCCTCAATATCGCGGTCTCGTCGCTGCATATCTGAAGCTGGCACCAATATGGCCCCTTCGACCTCAATAGGGTTTCCAAAGGGCCCCAATCTGAGTTTTGGAGCGTTTACGGCTCCAACGTCGGAGGCCATCATGAGGATACGTCAACCCGGATACCAAGATCTAATCCATCCTGTTGGGCCCAGACAACGTCAACAAACCCAACATTTTTGCGCGATAGATCCGCGCTTACACATACGCTTCTGCACGAACCACCCTCATCGCGTATTTAGGCAAGGGGGGGAATCTTGCGGTGTGGGTTATGGGGAAGTGCTGAAGACCTCCCTGAAGGGGAATAATTGGGGTTCCACGAGAAGAGCCCCCAAGAGGATGGAGAAGGGCGAGGAGGGGAAGGAGGAAAAGGACGAAGACGATGAGGAGAAGGAGGATGATGACGAGGAGGGATTTGGGAACAAGCAGGAGGCGAACGGGAAGGGGGAGGGTAATGATAGGAAGACACTTGATGATGATGATGATGATGATGATGATGATGATGCTGATGCTGATGCTGATGCTGATGCTGATGCTGATGCTGATGCTGATGCTGATGCTGGTGCTGGTGCTGGTGCTGGTGCTGGTGCTGGTGCTGGTGCTGCTGATGATGATGCTGATGCTGATGCTGATGCTGTTGCCGACAATGATGACGACGACGATGGACGACGACGATGAGTATAGTCAGGACAATTGGGATACTTGTGATGGTTATTATTATTCGGTCTGTGGTGGCGACGACGATTGTGATGATGACGATGTTGAGGATGTTGACGATGGTAATTTCGATGGCGATGCCGATGATGATGGTGTTACTGCTGCTGCTGATGTTTATGATGATGATGATGATGATGATGATGATGGTGGTGGTGGTGGTTATGAAGTTTATGTTGGTGGTGAGGGTGAGGTTGCGGTATTGGTTGCGTTTAGAATGGCGAGGACGATGATGACTATGATAATGGTGAGGTTGTTGCTGATTACGATGATAATGATGCGGATGATGATGCTGATGATGATGAGGATGATGATGCTGATGATGATGATGATGCTGATGATGATGTTCATAATAATGTTGATGATGATGACGACGATGGCAACGATTATGACGATGATGAGGATGAGGATGTTGAGGATGATGTTGATGAGGATGAGGATGATGATGTTGAGGAGGAGGAGGAGAAGGAGGAAAAGGAGGAACGGTGGAGAGATTGGAGAAGGAGTATGATGAGGAGGGATAGGAGGGGTTCAGGGCCCTACGTAATCGACGTCATAACTCTACAAAAGAACATCCAAGCCTTTCTCGCACACTGATGCTGCAGCACACTTCCCTACTCGTTCCCGTACCCAGACCCACTCGTGCGCCCGTGGCGATACCGACGCAAGATCCCAACCCAGACCCTGCCCGAGCTGCAGCGACGCAGGCCCGCGACACTGCATCCGCGCAGCGACGCAGGCCGTCGTTCGCCCTCTTGAGGCCAGCAGCGGAGCATGCCAGAATCGTATCCCAAAGAGTGTTTGCACGAATGTGTTCATACCTGGACAGTACGGAGCTGATTACTTACGAGTTTCGGATCTACGGCTGGTGGACGCCCGTGGGCGTCCAGTGGGTGTTTCGTGTTGGCTGAGAGCTCTGGGCCCTCGGCTGGTCGACGCCCGCTGGCGCCTCGTGGGCGCTTCGAGCAGGCTGGTAAATAGTTCCAGGTTTTCGACTGGTGGGCGTCCGTGAGCGCCTCGTGCTGGCTGAGTGTTCTGGGCCCTCAGCTGGTCGGCGCATCGCGGGCGCTCCGTGTGCGCCTCGTGCGTCGTCTGGCGCTTCGATGGATGGCTCAGCTTGCCAGCTTGCATCGCATCCGTTGCACCGCACAGCTTGCACCACACAGCTTATGCTACCCAGATCGCGCCCAATAGCTTTCTCCACTTCGAATGCACCACGCAGCTTGCATCACGCATACTTCGCCACATGTACTGCTCCACCTTGCTTACATATCCAGAGCACGCGGACTACCTGATCGGGGTCTACGCTGGCACACATGTTGAAAGCAGCAGCGCCTCCCTGGTTTCTGCCTCTTGGGCTGGCCCCCCAGCGCCCCGCATACGGTCCATGATTCGCCCAACAGGGCTCCGATACCACTCAGATCATGTTAGAAGTACGGGTTCCCAACCACGCTCCCGAAGTTTCTGGACACATCGCGCGGGCCGCCCCGACAGCGCCCAGGAGCGCCCAAGACCGCCTGGAACTTCGGGGTCCGGGCCCCCCAAAGAGTAAATTCACTCCTCTCCGCCTCATCTTCTTGCTGCTTTTCACATCACTTGCTGTGCTGCGCACTGTCTGACTATGATTGCGGTGATTTTCCGCAGCTGTGTGTTTGCTCACAGGAGATAAAAGGGGCGTGCTGGTTCGCACGCGCGCGCCGCGGGGTCGTCCCCGCGTCGTAGTCGTGTCGTTGGCCGGCCGGCCACCTCACTTACAATTCCTGATAGAGTAACCTTGCTTACCGGTTACTTGTCTTATCGATGTCTCATCCCGTACCCTTTTTCATTGAGCAGAGCGAACATGAGACCTTAATTATTTTGTCATCTTACCCCGACTGTCAGAGGAAAGTCTGGTTATCAGCCGAAAGCCGCGGCATAGTCGATGAGGGCTTATATCAGCCAGAAATCTGGTCTTCTGATGAACCCTGCGACTTAGTCGCTGCGGGTATGAACGATGATAAGACAGATGTAATGTCCGTCACTTCGCGAAACGCTGAACTGCAAGTTATACAACAAGACGGACATGATCTACAGGAGAGCGGCCCGGGGCAGGGCCGCCTTCCCTCTTCTAGTATCGCCACTCGGATCCCTCGGGGCAGAAGAAGTGAAGAGGTTGTTGATGTCGGAAGATGGCTCTCCCTCTGGAGTTCCGATTGGTAATCGCGAACAACCCACAGATCCGCATGGACGGAATGGCGCAACAGCGAGGTCCAGACGGGGAGCATTCTCGTCTCTGATCGCCGAATCATCGGAGTCGGTCAGTCCTATTCCGATTGCTGCACAAACATTCGTGCTGGCCCTTGGTGAAGCCAGTGGGTCGGGGGAAGCTCACAATTCCACAGGCGTGTACCCCAACGCCCCAGGCGGATGGGGAGGCACGAGTGGAAATGTTGCCATCCCAATAGCATTGAACGGACCATTTGGCCAGGATAGTGATGAGCCAATCGATAGAGAGTATGAAATAAACTCCATGGAGGAAGATTTCGATTATGCCAACAAACGAGTTTCGTTGAGCCGAGAGTTGTCATCTTTAATGGATGCAGATCATCCCGCCCAAGGCGAGAGGTGGCCCCCCAGACGGCCCAGATGAAGATACAAGTGACTTGACGCCTCAGGCGGACAAGGCTGAGATCGACCATCAATCTCAGGCGAAGCACGATAGGGAGTCTACAGGACGGACTCCTGCACCTCAACTCAAGAAGCAGGGGAACGAGGATTACGATTTAAACGACTCACCGCTTAAAGAAGGTTTCTGTCGTCCCGCCGTCGCCTCGGGCGATTGGCAACCCTAGGTGCCGGCTGTTCTTGAGGATGAAGAAATGGTTGAACAACCAGCTTCGTGCATTGTACTTATAGGACAGGATTGAGTGGTTGAGGAGCTACGAGAGGTGCCGAAACCCCAGAATGTACATCTGCGCGTCCTCGGTCGAACGCTTCGAGCAGGGGAAGACCCAAAATACCGAGATCAGGAGCGCGATCTACTTCAAGGAGCAACAGCAGTATCTCCATGATTGATACATGCTGGAACTGGAAATCTGACTGCGCGCCTCAGGCGGAGGGCAGATGCCCGGGGAAAGCCCGCAAGCCAGAAGGTGCATGTAGGCGTCCAGTATGTAAGAGCTGCTCGGATGTATGCCCTAAATGCAGCAACCAATGGTTGCGAGTATATTGCTTTCCTATGAACGAGCATAACTGCACATATCTTCTCATACAAGTGATTCAGGATCAGGCTAGACTTGTTGAAGCCAAGGCTCATCGGGAGTTCCTGGCAAGCGAAACGCAGCGGGCAGAAATGGCCCGGCTGGGTCGAGAGGAGATGACCGCAACTATGGAAAATGTTCGGAGGACGTTCGAGGCTGAAAGGCTCGCTCTAGCCAAGGCTGCCAGAGAGCGGGAACGAGAGTTGGTGGAACAGGCGCACCATCAGACCGCGACCGCTAAGCGGCAGGCGGAGAGAGAAGCCGAGAACCGCCATATCGAGATGCTGGCTTCCAAACGACAGGCCGTTGCGGCGGCGACTAATCAGTCTGTCGATGCCAAAATGGTCACCGCTGCTGTTGCGGCGGCTAGAGTAGAAGGAGAGAAAATCGCTACAGCCAGGGCAGAACGAGAAAAACAGGAGCTTCAAGAAAAGCTTCAAAACGCCAGGCTGGAAGTGGTTAACACTCAAGTTG